CCCCCGTGAGTGTGAAGCTCACGGGAACGGCAACCACGGTGGCAGTAGCCACAGGAGAGTAATGAGGAGGCGACTGACGAGATATCGGCGAGCAAGAGACCGAAGTGAATATATAACGAGGCGAATTCAACTGTGCAAACGAGACGAAATGAACGATAAACAGCACACGCGAAGCGGTAACGACGAGTGACCAACCAAATTCTAGATTTGAAGCTTTCGTGACTGCAAGGATTCATACTCTTAGTTCTTTCGGTAAAGTCACGTAGGTAAAAAATGAAATAAATTTTTTTTTTATTGATTTTAATTTCATTTTTTACCTATGTGACTTTACCGAAAGAACTAAGAGTATGACCAACCAAACTTTATGAGAGAGAAAAACAAGTTTTGCTGGCTGGCATGGCGTCAGTTCAGGAGAGGCAGACGAACGGACGGACGTACTTATGTCACGTCCAAAGGACATGCGGTCTGCTCGTGTTGTACGGGTCTCAGCTTAGCGTTTGGTTTCTGCATCTGGAGATGGGATTTGACCTCGGGTTAGGGGTTGGGTTCAGGGTGAGGTCTAGAATTAGGATTTGATCTCAGTCTTGATTTGAAGCTTTCGTGACTGCAGGAATCCATACTCTTTGGTTATTTCGTTAAAGTCACGTAGGTATAAAGTAACATAAATCACGACTTTTCGGGCGCAACACAAGCGTCCGTCATCAGGTGGGGTTGGGTTCAGGATGGGATCTAGAATTAGGATTTGATCTCGGGCTGTGGTGGAGTTCAGGGTCAGGGTCTGGAGTTGGATTTCGCGAGCGCACACGGCAAGGCGCCGCGTCACTCCCCTCCCTCCGCGCTGCGTGCGGATTGTGGGAAACGTCTCCTCGCTCTCAACACCAACCCCTCTTGGAGTTTACCTGAGACGCATGGCTCCTACACTTGGGCATCACGTGTGTGTGTGTGCGTGCGTAATTGTGTTTTAATGTGCCTGAGTGTGTCTGTGTGTGAGTATGTGTGTGTGCACGTCTGTACTCTACTATGGGGAGCGGTAGCGCAGTGGTTCGCGCATTGCGCTACGAACCCGAAGACACGAGTTCGACTCCCGTTCACGACCAATAAGTGACCGATATCCGAACCGGTCCTGCCCCCACCCCCCGATTCAGCGGTGTATAAACGGCATCAATGGGGAGACAAAGGCGGCCCAGGGCGTGTTGCTATCCACACCGCTCCCTCGTGTGCCGTGGCGACCTTCACAGAAGTGCTGCTCGCTAACGGCACTTGCCCCAACAGCAGAGGTCGCAAACGGGTTTTGATTCCTTACCCGTACCTGGCCGCACCAGGGTCGCAAATGGGTACCGGGTACGGGTACCCGTACCCTACCCGTACCCTACCCGTACCCTACCCGAAATGAGTGACAAACGGTTACTCATCAGTGACTCACGGCCTACCCGTACCCGTACCCGGCCGCACCAGGGTCGCAAACGGATACCCGTACCCGGCCGGGTATGGGTAGCCGGGTATCGGGTATCGGGTACCCGGTTGCGACCTCTACCCAACAGTCTGTCGGAAGGCTATACGCGGTGGGGGGTGGGGGGGGTCTTTGTTTGTGTGTGTGTGTCTGTCAGTTCGTGCGTGGATCTCTTTTAGTTTCGCCTCGCGTCTAAAATTAGTGGGCAGCTGGTGAGGTGGACGTCCGCTCTGGGGAGATAAAGGCAGCCGGGCGCGTGTGGTCTCACCAACCCCACCACGTTCCACGCCGCCCTTAATAGGTGCTCGCAAACGGTACCGCAGCACCGTCTCCATAGACGAGCCACGGCAATCGTCTGTCCATGCATACGGCAAGTTTGTGCGCGTTCTGGATACCTGATGCGCGCGTGTGTGTGTGGCCAGCGGAAGTGTAGCGGTTAGCGCGCTGAGCTACGAAACCGGCGTTCCAAGTTCGACTCCCGCTCACGGCCACCAACAAGTGGCGATTGTCTGAACCGGTCACGGATCTCCCTTTGGTCGATTCGGCCTCAAAAGAATAGTTGGTGCGGGGTGCAATCATCGCGAGGAGGGATGAGAAGGCGACCGGGCGTGGTGCTGGCCACCCACCCCCTCGTGTGGCGCCCCAGCCTTCATAGGTGCTACTCGCTAACAGCACTTGCCCCAACAGTCTGTTAAGGCTATACGGGTGGCCTTTGTGGGTGTGTGCCAGTGTGTGTGAGTGGGTGGGTGTGTGCCAGTGTGTGCCAGTGTGTGTGTGCCAGTGTGTGTGTGGGTGTGTACCAGTGTGTGTGTGGGTGTGTGCCAGTGTGTGTGTGGGTGGGTGTGTGCCAGTGTGTGCCAGTGTGTGTATGGGTGTGTGCCAGTGTGTGTGTGGGTGGGTGTGTGCCAGTGTGTTCCAGTGTGTGCCAGTGTGTGTGTGCCAGTGGGCGTGTGCCAGTGTGTGTATGGCCTCAAGGTGCACATGGCCTGACACAAGCGTCGTGGTGACGTCACCGCCACTTAGTGGCGAATGGCGGTTGTTGCTGTTGTGTGGGTGTGTGTGCCAGTGTGTGTGTGTGGTTGTGTGTGGGTGGGTGTGCCAGTGTGTGTGTGTGTGCCAGTGTGTGTGTGGGTGTGTGCCAGTGTGTGTGCTAGTGTATGTGTGTGCCAGTGTGTGTGTGTGCTAGTGTATGTGTGGGCGTGTGCCACTGTGTGTGGGTGTGTGTGGGTGTGTGCCAGTGTATGTGTGGTTGTGTGTGGGTGTGTGTGCCAGTGTATGTGTGGGCGTGTGCCACGGTGTGTGGGTGTGTGTGGGTGTGTGCCAGTGTGTGTGGGTATGTGCCAGTGTGTGTGCTAGTTTATGTGTGGATGTGTGCCACTGTGTGTGGGTGTGTGTGTGTGCCAGTGTATGTGTGGGCGTGTGCCGCGGTGTGTGGGTGTGTGTGTGCCAGTGTATGTGTGGTTGTGTGTGGGTGTGTGTGCCAGTGTATGTGTGGGCGTGTGCCACGGTGTGTGGGTGTGTGTGGGTGTGTGCCAGTGTGTGTGCCAGTGTGTGTGTGCCAGTGTGTGTGTGTGTGCCAGTGTGTGTGTGTGTGCTAGTTTATGTGTGGATGTGTGCCAGTGTGTGTGCCAGTGTGTGTGTGTGCCAGTGTGTGTGTGGGCGTGTGCCACGGTGTGTGGGTGTGTGTGGGTGTGTGCCAGTGTGTGTGGGGAGCGGTAGTGTAGCGGTTAGCGCGCTGCGCTATGAACCTGGGGATCTGGGTTCGATTCCCGCTCACGGCTAACACCAGTGACGATTATCTGAACAGGTCCTGGGCCTCCCCTAGGTCGACTCAGCCTTAAATGAGTACCTGGTGCGGTGTGTGAACATCGCCACTAGGGAGACAAAGGCGGTCGGGCGTGGTGCTGGCCACCCACCCCCTCGTGTACCGTTCCGGCCTTCATAGGTGCTCGCTAACAGCACTTGCACCTACAGTCTGTTCAGGCTATACGGGGGATCTTTGTCTTTGTGTGTGTGCCAGTGTATGTGTGTGCCAGTGTGTGTGTGTGCTAGTTTATGTGTGCCAGTGTGTGTGTGTGTGCCAGTGTGTGTGTGTGGGCGTGTGCCAGTGCCCACATGGTGACGAGTCGTGAATGAGGCTCAAGTAGTGGTTTAAGAGCCCCTAGACCGCACGCGTTGGGGTTAAGAGGTGTGGCCTCTCGCGAGACAGTGGGGGGGGGGGGGGCACTGAAGGCGATCTGACCAATCAGAGCGCGACATGAGTTGAGAGCGCGGGGGGCCCAGGGGCGAGGGGGGCCCAGGGGCGAGGGGGGCCTGGGGGGCGTGGAGAAGAGGGGAGGGGGTCCTGGGGTGAGGGGTGCAGGTGAGGGGGGGGGGTCACAGTGGAGGAGGCTCGTGAAGGACGCCGCTGCTGCTGCTGCTACTGGGCAGTTGGAGGCAGTCGCCCTCCAGCAACAACGGAGGGCGGAGGAGCGACGCTCACAACAACGAGCGGAGCTCCTGGCGGTTAAAACGCAGAGCGATGGCACTGTGGGGAGCACATCTCAGTCAGCCCGTGGCACCTGCTGGGGCTGTCCCGTGGCCTCCTGCCAGCGGCCTTTCGACACTTCACGTGGCCTCAAAGTGCACCCAGTCTGGCACAAGCGCCGCGGTGACGCCACTTAGTGGGGAACGGCGGCGGCTGTTGTTGTTGATGTTGTTGTTGATGATCAGGTGCGGAGGTCGAGGGAGATAAGACGGGGGAAAAGAGAGAGAGAGAGCGCGAGATAGAGAGAGAGTGAGAACGCGCAGAGCACGGGGAGAGAGGGGAGCGCGAGTGGGAGAGGCACGAGAGGAGAGAGGGGATGGGAGAGAGGGGGGACGGAATCCGTGCTTATTCCGTGTAAAGGTGGACACGGCAAGCGCTGCTTAACGAATAGCGGTAGCCCCCCACTGCCCCCGCATTTCACTCCACGTGCCCTCCCATTGAGGGTGGCCGGGCAGGCATGCAAGTTCACGGCACCACACCGCGCCGTCGCTTCCTGCCTCCTGCCAGGAGGCGCCTTCCAGACCCCCAGGCGGAGTTCCACACCGCGGGAAGGAGAGAGAGGAGGGGGTGAGAGAGCCCCCCCCTCCCCATTTTTTTGCCCCGTTAGTTATGGTCTCCTTAAAGCAACATTGGAGTAACGTGAGAGTCAGGAGGGAGGGAAAGGGAGAGGCAGGGACGAGGTGGAGAGAAAGTGAGACGAGGGGAGAGGGTGAACGGACCGGGGGAGGGGAGAGGGGGGCAGATGGGGAGTTAGAGGAGAAGTGGGGGGGGGGGGGGGGGGTAGAAGGTAGAGTTGGAAGGGGAGGGAGAGGATAGAGGGGAGATGGGAATGAGAGATAGGGAGAAGGGGAGACGGGGAGAGAGGGGGGTGGGAAGTGTGAAGAGGAGAGGCGGTGGGGCAGGGAATATAAAGTTGCCGTAGGGACGAGAAGGGAGAGGGGGGTGTGGAGGGAGTTGCCGAGAGAGGGCGGGGAGTGTGAGGAGGACGTGGAGAGGGGGAGGAGAGAGCCGAGTGGGAGAGCGGGGAGGCAGCAAGAGCGTCTCACTCTCGAGTCGGGAGCGCGTGGGTCACGTTGACTCGCTCCCGATGAATGAGGCTGCGAGCGCGGGGCCCGGATAAGGCTTCGCGACCCCGGGAAACAGAGACCCCGGGACTGAAGGATCCCGACACCAAGGGGGTCCGGGATGTGAGGACGGGGCAAGGGTCCCCCCCTCTCGACCCCCCCACCCATCTCTACCCCCTCGCTTCCCCTGCACGCGCCGTGGCGACAGCTGCCCTGGCGTGATGGAAGGGTTCCACCCCGTGGTGAGACGCGACGGGAGTGGAGGTGGTGGTGGTGGATGTGTGGGTGGACGTGGACATGATGACTGAGTTGTTGTTGAAGGTTTTTGTTAGTTGAAATTGGGAGTGATTTTTGTTTTGTTTTTAAATAAGGGTCATTGCCCGAAACGTCGCCCTGTTATGTTTTCCTTTTAAGGTCGCGCAGTGTATATGCCGCATGTGTCGAGTTGTTGTTGTTGGCGGTGCTTGTGCACCACTGCCACCGCAGCAGCAGCATCACCAGGTAAGGCGTTCGTGTCAGATGTTGGTGGTGAACGTCGAGTCGATGTTAAGAGTCAGAAGTGAATGTGTAAGCTGTGCGGGTGGAGTTGCGGTGACGGGACGAGGACGTGCTGGACGGGGCTGGTGGAGCAGTGTGGAGTGATCGACTTTGGTGGTGGAGTTGTCGGTGGAGCACGTATGGTGGAGTGGGGAGCGGTGGTGCAGCGGTTAGCGCACTGCGCTACGAACCTGGTTACCCGAGTTCGATTCCCGTTCACGGCCAGCCAACACCAGTGACGATTATTTGTAACCGGTCTTGGGCCTCCCCTAGGTTGACTCGGCCTCAAATGGGTACCTGGTGCGGTGTGTAGTAAACATCGCCACTGGGGAGACAAAGGCGGTCGGGCGTGGTGCTGGCCACCCATCCCCTCGTGTGCCGTGCCGGCCTTCAATAGGGGCTCGCTAACAACACTTGCCCCAACAAGTGGTGGTGATGGAGTTCAGTCGTGGGGTCATCAGTGTTGATGATGGTGGAAATGATGGTGGAAATGATGGTGGTGGAGTTGGTGGTGGAGTTGGTGACGTTGTCGATGCTGGAGGAAGTTGCTCGAGGCTTTGCAGTGGCGGGTGAGCTCATGTCGACTTGACGAGGTCTCACCTGGTGAGGCAAAGTGCTCACCTGGTGAGGCTGCAGTCACAACATGGCCTGGCAGGGTCTCGCCGGGTGAGTAGGGGTCTCGTGTACTGTATAAGGATCTGGTTTGAATCGCCCGGGAGGGGAGGAGGAAAGGGGGTGTGGAGGTGGGGGGGTGGGGTGGAGGTGGGGGGTGGGGTGGAGATGGGGGGTTGGGTGGAGATGGGGGGTGGGGTGGAGATGGGGGGTGGGGTGGAGATGAGGGGAGGGTGGAGATGGGGGGTGGGGGGAGGGTGGAGATGGGGGGTGGGGGGAGGGTGGAGATGGGGGGTGGGGGGAGGGTGGAGATGGGGGGTGGGGGGAGATGGGGGAGATGGGGGAGGGTGGGGGAGGGTGGGGGAGGGGGTATCTCTGTGTTGACTTGCGTCACCTGGCCACGGCGCAAGCTTCTAAACTGGTCCTATACAGTGCGGTGACTTTACCTGTATGTCAACTCTACCGGTTTCCCACCTGCGCCCGTGTCTCAACCTGCACACGTGGCTATAACTGCACACGTGGCTCACCTGTAGTAGCCGAATCACACTCGTACCCGTGTCTCATGTGTAGCAATCATCTGTTCCTGTGTCTCACCGGTTCTTGAATTACTCACCTGGACCTACCTCTTACCTGTTCATGTCTCTCACCTGCACCTCACCTGCACCTGTGGATCGCACCGAAACCCGTGTCTCTAACCTGCACCTGTCTCACCTCTACCCGTGTCACTCACCTGCGTTTCATGTATCTGCACCTTCCTTACCTGTATCTGTCTGTTACCTGCACCTGCGTCTCACCTGTGCTCCTCGCTTGCCCCGTGCACCGCGAGTTGGAGCCGCTAATCGGACCGCGAGTGACGAAGCCGACAACGCTCTCACGGCTATGGCCGCGAGACGGATCTCATCCCTTGCCCTTCGTCCCGCGGAGCGCTGCGCTCACAACGAGAGAGACTCACGGAGGCTCTAAGGCCTCTCGCTCTCTCTCTCCTCTCTCGACAAGTGCTTTTATTGTACCAATTTAGCATTTTACACTGAACGAGGGTCCGTATAAGCGGTTATTGTGTGCACTGGACCCTGTCATAGAAACGTGGAATTCCCACCATTGGCACAAGGCCACCACCAACACAGATGCGCTCTGCCTAATGCCTCCTCGTGCGGGCTGCCACCCTCGCTCGGCTCGACCTTGATCGGTGCGCGCGCGCCCCGGGCCCTTTCGTGCACCGCTCCGCCCTTCACAAGTGCTGCTGACAGCACTTGCCCCAACAGCTCGCGTGGGCTACATGGGGGATCTTTGTCTTGTTGTACGAAAACTATGACCGCACGTGCGTGTACCAGCGCAATGCATGACCATGACATGATGCGTATTCATGATGGTCGCTAAAATCGGTTTATGTTTGCATAGCCCGTAACCGAATTCAGAACAAAAACTGGTCAATACAGGTTTGCGCACTTATGTACATGTCCAGTGCATTTAAACGTCGGGCATTCATCCCTCGACCTGAGAGCCCGAAGACCACTCGCTGCCACGGTGGGGGGGTTGGGTGGGGGGCAACAGCGGCGCGCCCACCGCTGTGGCCCAGCGTGGAAGAGCAGGCCAAGGTCCCTCGCGGTCCCCCTCCAGCGGAGGCCCCTCCGTCCGTCAGCACGGGCGCGAGTGAGCGGGCTGGAGAGGGCCATTGCAGGGCTGCAAACTTTACGACTGGGAGACGAGTGCGGGCGATGTGCTTGGGCCTGCCGCCGTGCGGTTTGTACGGGTTCCGGCGCGCGGGGACAATCGTTCGTCAGTAGGCCGGAGTCGGTTACCGAAAACCGGTCACCGATTCGGAGGCATTCAACTCATCCGTAGCCGGGCCGTGCAATATCGCACCGCTCCAGGCGACGCGTGTTTTAGCTGCGTAGCTCTCACTTCTTCCGCTACTGGGACACATTCTTTCTGCCCACGATGGGTCCCAGCTGTGCTGTGTCCCAGAGGTGACAACCCAACTAACCCACTCGTGGCCTCTGCCTGCACTATGCAGGTTCCCCTTGCTTCGTGCGGTAGATGCATTACAAACAAATTGCGCACAAACCGAGGGAACCCTGTCGTAGTCGTATTACTACTGCGGTCTACACACACCACCGCAGGCGTAACCAGGGCGGCCGCCGGAAATCGAACTGCGCAGTGAGCGGCAGACGCGCCGCCGCTGGAACCTCGCAGAGGGCCCGGCCCGGTAGCGAGCGCTGGACCCACGCAGACGTCAACGCACGGAGCGGGGAGCCGTGTGGCACGCCGCCTAAGAGCCCACGGAGCGCTGGGGTCTCTACCCTCACTCTAAGTTGATCTTACCAGTCCCGATGCACGTTTCTGGCTCTAGGTCGGTGTGTGAGTCTGTGGGTCCTATGTGAGTCTGTGTGAGTCTATGAGTCCTGTGTGAGTCTATGGGTCCTGTGTGAGTTTATAGGTTCAGTATGAGTATATGGGTCCTATATTAATCTATGGGCGCCTGTGTAAGTCTATGGGTCCTATGTTGTTCTATGGGTGCTATGTTAGTCTATGGGTCCTGTGTTAATACATGGGTCCTGTGAAGGTATCCAGTATCCCGTGTTGGTCCATGGATTCCGTTGGTAATCCGCCATCCTCTGTCTGAGTCTCAGAGACCTACAGACGCAGACCCAGAGTCCATAGTTCCTGGTTTGACAAGCGACCTGCGGTCGTGTGTGTCGACCAACCGAAGTGGAATCACAGTGGAATCACTTCGGTGGGGCGCTTTGTCCACATGAGGGGCACACACTCCGTACGTGCCCGGCACAGACTGTGTTGTTCGCTTGTCAAACCTATAACAATATCACCACGGCTGGAATCAGCCAACATTATATATAAACCCAAATTTGTTTGGGATTGTTGTTGTTGTTGTGCAGTCATTTGGTGACCAGGCGGAGATCGTCAAAAGAGCGTTTGCGTGTCTCGTTTCGACTCCGTCCGGATGAGAGGAAACCAGAGCACCTGGAGAAAACCCACATATGCGAGGGGGAAACACTCTATCCCCACACAGACGGAACAGGTGGAGATTAGTCTACATCTTGCCATACCGCCTTCTCGTGGCAGAGTCAGCGGCTCCTCCTTGACTCCCATGGGGGGGGATAGGGAGCTTCGCGGCGTCTGTGGGGGGAGGGCGACCAGGCCGAGTGCCGGCGCGTTGACACCGCTCGTCCAGGTCGCTCCACCCGTCGCGCGGGTTCGAGCACCCGTGGCCGCCCTGGTAAATAACTGCCTCGGTTTGTGTTCGCCGCAAATGCTACGCGCCAGCATCTCGGGGGGCGGCGCGTCTCGGGATCCCATCGATGTCGTTGGGCAAACGGAGCGGTGGTGGCCACCGCGTGCCCGGCGTCGCGCCGCCAGATTTTGAAAATGGAACGCCCGGCAGTTTCTCGGTCGGAGTTCACGAGCTGCGTCGATAGCTTTGTGCCACACAGAGACAGCTGCCGCTGGGGATGCTCCAGGCTTGACCACACAGTAGTAGCAGCAGCCACATTGCCCCGCCGCTGTGTGTGAAACACAGCGGCGCCTTCCTGCGTGACGATGACAGCCTTGCACGACCCCGCGATTCATAATTGGTTGATTTTTGGGTTACAGATCGCGTCCATAGAGACGCGTAGAGATCCACAGTGATGCATCTGAGGCAAGCCACGGTAGCGCGATTGTGACCACGCAACCCAAGCTATGGACCGTACAGGAAACCACTGTAGTCTACGCTCCGTCGATGGAGGAGGAGGAGGAGCAGAGCTGCGAGACGAACTCTCTCGCTGCTGAAGCTGCCTCGCGTTGGCCGGCAGACCTCGAGATTGGCCTCTGGAACCGTGGCCGTGCTGCTGCCGACATCGTCCGCAAGGAGCGGCGTGAGATTGGACGCCAGGTGAACGGCACGGAGTCGCCACGAGTGTGAGAAGGGCACGGTCAGTGCTCTCGGAACATTGGGCCCATCGACGAACGTGGGCTCAATAGACCGCCTATATTTATGTGCCCTGTGTTTGTGTGGGGCTGTGTGTGTGGGGGGCTGTGTGTGTAGGCTGTGTATAGGGCTCCGTGTGAATGTGTTGTGTGTATGTTTGACTGTTTG